TAATAAAGCAACTCTTAAGCTTGCATTTCAATCCCCAAAATAATAAAGATTATGAATCATTGGTTTTTAGAAGGCTTCTGCAAAACAAGGGTGAACTCATGCAAGATTATTATACCAGGTTGCACCAATAGGCGGTTAAATGTGATTTTTCTGACATTGACCGAGAAATTAAAACTCAGATATTAGCTGGATGTGCTTCAGATACATTTCGGCGAAAGCTGTTAGAAAAAGAAAGAACATTAAATGACATCCTACTGTTAGCACGAGCAAATGAACAAGCAGAATTACAGTCAACAGACATTGCACAAAGTACAAGTAAAGACAGTGTTAATAGACTGTATGATAAACCTAAACAGGTATCACATAGGCCTAACAGTAAAGATATGGTGAAACAAAAAGAAAATGTCCGGCATACGGCAAAGTTTGTAAGAAGTGTAACAAACGTAATCATTTTGCTAACGTATGTAGATCACCTGTAATGAAACAAACAAACAAGTTTACTAGACCTAAGGTTCATACTGTAATACATGACAGTAGTGAAGAATATGATACAAATTGTAGTGAAAATGGTCATAATGAGTATGTATTTGGTATCCCAGAAAGTAAACTTCCCAGTAGTACAATTAGTGTTGATAATGAGTTTGTCAGATTCATTATAGATACGGGTGCCTCAGTTAACATTATGGCAAGTGAAGTATTTGATAACTTTAAGAAAAAGCCTATCCTTCAGAAAACACATGTTAAAATTTATGGTTTTGGTAGTGACGAACCATTGAAAACTAGAGGAGTCTGTAAGGTAACGTTCCATGCAGAAAATGAGGTAAAATGTGAGGATGATGTTTACATTGTTGATGGAAATGTTGGTAACATACTCTCATGGAGGTCGGCGGAAAAACTTAACTTGGTTAAGGTGACTTGTAACAATAATGCAATGGGTATTAGAGATATACATATTCCTACTAATAATGCAACAAATGTTACTGATAATGATGATGGTGTACAGTCCATACACTCAGAAATTGTTGACAAGTACCCAATTTTTGACGGGATTGGAAAATTTAAAGGGGTTGAAGTTAAACTACATGTTGATCCAACTGTAAAACCCACACAGCAAAAACACAGAAGGATTCCGTTTCACATAAGAAAAGATGTAGATAAAGAGTTAAATAGATTGATGGATTTGGATATAATCGAAAAGGTAGAAGGTCCAACACCCTGGGTAAGCCCAATCGTCGTCGTACCAAAAGGTAATGGGTCTATAAGAATCTGTGTTGATATGAGACAGGTTAATAAGGCGATTCTCAGAGAACGTCACCCAATCCCCACATTAGATGACATAGTAAGTGACCTTAATGGTGCCACTGTGTATAGTAAATTAGATTTACGATCAGGTTACCATCAGTTACCCCTCCACGAGGATTCTAGATTTCTTACTACCTTTACCACACATTCCGGTCTATATAGATATAAAAGGTTGATATTTGGTGTCAATGCAGCTTCAGAAATTTTCTCAGCTGAAGTAGGAAAACTGTTGTACGGGCTTAAAGGCTGTAAAAATATCTCGGACGACATTGTTATTTTTGGACGAAATGAACAAGAACACGATGAAAATTTGAAAGCGACCTTAGAGCGACTACAGCAGCATGGAGTTACGCTAAACAAAGAAAAGTGTGTGTTCAGAACACATGAAGTAAAATTCTATGGTCATATTTTCAACAGTAAGGGCTTGGCAGTTGATCCCCGGAAAGTTGAAGATATTCAAAACGTTCCACGACCAACGAATGCAAGCGAAGTTCGATCTTTTCTCGGACTAACACAATATGTGGCGAGATTTATCCCCGATTATGCATCACTGACAACATCGCTGCGTGAATTGACGCGAAAGAATGTTTATTTCAAATGGACAGACACCCAAGAACAAGCTTTTATTAAACTTAAAGCCGCCCTCATCAGCCCCACAGTGATGACATACTTCGACATTCAGAAAGACTCGCAGGTGTTAGTGGATGCAAGCCCAACAGGATTAGCCGCTATGCTCTGCCAAGATGGCAAAGTTATAGGATACGCTAGCAGATCGTTGACCGGTGTAGAACAGCGATACTCGCAAACAGAGCGGGAAATGTTAGCTGTCGTTTTCGGTGCTGAACCTTTTCATTTGTATTTATATGGAGCAAGATTTCAGATAATGACTGACAATAAACCATTACTCAGCATATTCAGCCATAACAAGCCAATGAGCACACGAATTGAACGCTGGAGGTTAAGAATAATGCCATATAATTACGAGTTGGAATACCGACCTGGACACGACAACCCGGCTGACTACTTAAGTCGACACCCAAACAAGACAACACAAGACACTGAAGAACAGCAAACTGTTGCGCATGTTAATTATATTGTACACAACGCAATCCTAAAGGCGATGAAACTGAGTGATATTGAGGCTGAAAGCAAAGTTGATAGCCAACTACAGAAATTGAAACAGGCAATTGAACAGAATAATCATGCGTTGTGGAACGAAGCTGAACTTCGCGAAATTAAGCAGTTAAAAGATGAGTTGACAGTAACAGACAACATTATACTCAGAGGACATACTATAGTTATACCCAAATCATTACGTAATAAAGTGGTAGAAATCGCACACGCTAGTCATCAAGGCATTGTGAAGACGAAGGCCTTAATTCGAGAAAAGGTCTGGTTTCCAGGGATAGATAAATTAGTCACGGGAAAGGTAAAAGAATGTGTTGCATGTCAGGCATCAAATGCGCAAAATGCAGAAGGCATTGAACCCTTAAAAATGTCAAGCATGCCAAAAGCACCCTGGAAGGAAGTTCAAATGGACTTTAAAGGGCCATTACCAAATGGAAAATATCTTTTGGTCGTATACGATTTATATAGCCGTTTTCCAGAGGTCGAAATTGTAACATCGACGTTGGCACAAGCAGTATTGCCAAAACTCGATGCTATACTAGCCCGACAAGGCATTCCAGAGATCATCCAAACCGATAACGGTCCACCATTCACAAGCAATGAATTTCGACAATACGCAGAATATCACGGGTTTAAACATAAACGAATAACACCATTGTGGCCACGTGCAAACGCGGAAGTAGAACGATTCATGTCAAATTTAAAGAAAAATCTCTTAACAGCAAGTATCGAACACCGAAACACACAACAAGTGTTGTACGAATACTTACGACAATACAGAGCAACGCCACACACTACAACACAGATATCCCCAATGGAACTTTTGAATGGGCGAAAAATTTCTACTCGCTTACCAGAGATAATTATAGCTAGAAATGACGATGAGATTCGTAAAGTCGATTCAGAAAATAAACAGAAAATGAAAGAATATGAAGATAGAAAACTTAATACTAAGGAAATTTGTCTAAAAGTAGGAGATAGAGTATTACTTAAGCAAAGGAAAGGAAATGCATTTACTCCACCGTTTGATCCAAAGCCATTTCGTATTATAGAAAGAAACGGTAATTCCATAAGAATTCAGAGAAATGACTTGCAACTTTGGAGAAATGTTAGCCTTGTTAAAAAGGTACAGTAGTAGAAGGTATAAAGGAAATAGATGATCCCTTAAGTGACGTAGAGCTGGATAGTATTGTAGAAGGTGATTCTATAACCGAAGAAAGGGGGGAAAAGGAAAAAGGGAAAACTTTGTCAAAGCAAACGATAACGAGAAAGAGTCTTAGAAACAGAAGAATGCCAAAAAGGTATAATGAGTTTATAATGCACTAAGCAAGCAAGTTAAGATTTATAAATCTAGATTGACAAGGTACATTTATAGTGATTTTGTCACAACCAAGAAGTTTTAGTTTTGTGTTTATAAAGAAAACAGTTGTTCAGAGTTTAGTTTTGTGATTATAAAGAAAACAGTTGTTCAGAGTGTTAACAGGGAAATGTTTAGTGTTATAAAAGTTATTGAGTTAAGGTTCTATTCGAGGTTAAGGGGGATGTGGTGTTGTGATTATTTACAATATTGGCAGTAGCGCCACCTATTGGCGTTAAGGTTGGAAACTTGGAGAGGAGCCATAATGATGATGAATGAATAAAGGCAGAGAACCATATGATGAGTTCTAGTGTTTGTACTTCATTTGATGTATGCGTAGTTACATGATATACTACTGACAGTACAACATTACAGTGACCCTTGTTACTTTTGACCTATAGGTGAAGAGTCGTTATTTATGTTTAGAAGGTCCTAAGGATCATTCCTAGTAAATTCGAGCTCAATTGGACTATTTTTAAAATTTGACCCCGATGACCCCTATGTAACCCTGATCCCAGAGTGAGGTGTAGGAGTTGTCGCCGGTTCTTAATGACGAAAATTGATTGAATTTGGTCCAATGGTTTGCCAATCGTAGCATTTTGAAATGTTACTAGAGAGAACAAAAGAATAACCCTTTAATGACCTTTGACCGTAAATCGCTGAACACCATAAAGACCCTACCTTATGCCAATACATATGTGCCCAGGACAAAACTGTGCTATGTTATTTGTGACAGAATTCTTTTATTTATTTTTTTTTAAGTTTTTTACCCTAATGACCTCTATGTGACATTTGACCCCAAGCAGGAACACCCCATGTATGAGAGGTGTCACCGATTATACTGACCAGGTTTGGTTGAAATCGGCACAACCGTTTGGCACTAGTAGCGTTTTGAAATGTTGCCAGAAAAAAATATAAAAATTACCCCTTAATGACCTTTGATCCTTTATACCTGAACCCCTTATACCCTCCCTTCTGCCAATGTATATGTGCAAAGGACAAGACGTTATTTGTAAGACAGGTAGTCTTTTATACTATTTTTGTTTTTTTACCCTATTGCCCCTTATGTGACATTTGACCCAAAGCTGTGAACAACACATAAATGGGAGATAGCACCGGTCCTACTGACCAAGTTTTAATAAAATCGGTCCAGTAGTTTGCCAATAGTATCCTTTTAAAATGTTGCCAGAAAGAAAGAAAGAAATATAGAAGAAACTGCTAAGAAACAGAACCCAGTCAGCAGAAAGAAACTGCTCGGAAACAGAACCCAGTCAGCAGCATGCTGACTGGGTAAAGAAGAAACTGCCCGGAAACAGAACCCAGTCAGCATGCTGCTGACTGGGTAAATACAGTGTTCGAATAAAGGACATTCTAATACATAGTGTAGCATAGCTGTCAAAAATGTAGTCCTGTAAATAAATGAATAAAGAAATTGTGTAATAAAAAAGAACCCACTACATCATTCGAGAAGAGTCCGGGGTTCCCCCGGTGTACTGGTCCACTAGTCCCCTGTCCGGCCAAGATGTGTATAAGAGACAGATATAGATCAGAAAATAGATCTAACATGCTATGAATGCAGTTTAACGGCTGTCTCTTATACACATCTAGATGTGTATAAGAGACAGATATATATATGTCCAGAATTATACTCGAATTAGTTCACTCAAAATCATGGGTCCATTGTTAGATTTACGTTAAATATTATCTTATTAACTCTCAGATTTTCTAAATTAAAATGTTTAGATATATTTAAAATATGTTCACATTGGAGGTTTTATGTGTCAGATGGGTCCATTTTTAACAGATAATTTCTACTAGCAACATACCTTCGAAATTTGTTTTTTCTCAACTGTCGTAATTTTATTTAAGGTGTCCATTTTGATAACATACTTCTTACTTTTATCCCCAGCCCACAACATAATATGCAGATTTGGTGTTATGCATGTGATTTCAGCATTTTCCAGATCCAAGACCGGTGTATCGCTGACAAACCTGAACATTTCATTAAAAAGGTCATCAAAACTTCTGTCTCCGATTCTTTGTTTCAGTCGGTGTACATCTTTAGTACTTATTGGAGCTTCACATTCAATGAATATTGGATCTCTATAGAACTGAAGATAAGGGAAAAAACAATGATGCATGTCGTTGCCAAATAAGTCATTTTATTTAGATGATTATATGTTTTAGTGATGTTTGCTGCCCTCAGTGATGGTAGAGAGGTAGCTAATAATTTTTAATATTAATCCACAGTGCAATTATTTCAGCTATTAAATTGCTGTGCATGCTGTGCGTATTCATGTATTATGTTCTTGCTTTAGTTTGTAATTATAGGGACAACATTCATGTACTGTAAAATCATTTAAGAAAAGGTTCACATTGTTTTGTTTTATGTGTAAATTAGGTCCATTTCAAAAAATACTTTCTACTAGCAACATACCTTGGAACTTTGTTTTTTCTCAACTGTCGTAAGTTCATTTGAAGTGCTCATTCTGATCACATACTTGTTAGTTTTATCTCCAGCACACAAAATTATATGCAGATTTGGCGTTATGCATGTGATTTCAGCATTTTCCAGATCCAAAACGGATATATCGCTAACAACTCTGAAAATTTCATCAAAAAATTCATCAAGACTTCTGTCTTTGATTTTTTGTTTCAGTCGATGTACATCTTCAGTACCTATTGGAGCATGACATTCCACGATTGTAGGATCTCTGCAGAACTAAAGGTAAAGAAAACAACAAAGATGCATGTCTATGCCAAGTAAGTCATTTTATGAGAAAATTATATGTTTTAATGTTTGCTGTCCTCAATATTTATTAGGTAGAGAGCTAGTAATCTGTTTCATATTTAATATCCATGTTGGCTGTACTAAAACAGACAATGCAGTTAAGCTAGCTATTTAATGCCCAGAATGATCAGTAGTAATGTACCGTTAGTTTGTACTGGGTTTGGCTTGTGATTATAGCCACAACTTTTATGTACTGTTAATTACTAAGCTAGCACTGTTTACAGAGGCGTAATCAATAATTAAGTCTAGATATCTACGGCCACTAGATGGCCGCACAAGGGGAACGGCAAACAGACAGCGAAGGGAGCTGCCTCTGGCAAAAACAGAAAAGATGTATTTTGGCTACAGACGTGATTTTTGCAATTCCCTGAGGAAGTAAGTCTTTTTTTTATGTAAATTAAATAAATACAACGGAATGGCTGTTGAATGGTTTGTAAGTAAGGCTTGAGATACCAAGATAGTTGGTAATGCTTCAAATGTACCTCTTGGTCATCGGATTTGATTGGAGCATCAAAGTAGTGTATTGTTGAGTCTATTACTTGTATACTTGTATTCCAAGAGAGTCTTCTACAGTCTGATCCTCCTGGGTATAGAGGCCAAGCAAAACGATGCTTATAGGCCCCTCGAAAAAACAGTATATTAAAATTTAACATAGGGCGCAAATTTAAGCGGATGGTCAGCCAAACGTACTTCGATCGCAGATTTAAATAAATTAATAGAACTAGAGCTAACATCTTCATTCGATAAAGAATTCTACAGCCGAACTGACCTAAATGAAAAAGCACGACTTCTAATAAGTGTCTTACAGTGCTGATGTTTAATCTTAAAGGAGTGACCTCTAGTTCTAGCACCTTTATCAAACTCAAAAAAATAAATCACCGAAAACCCTATCAATTCCATGGACAATTTTAAAAAGCTGTAAAATATCCGATCTCTGTCTACGAAATGCTAGAGTTGGAAGATTCAAAAATTTAAGTCTAACTTCGTACGGAAAATCCCTTACCTCCAAAACATCTTAGTTGCTCGTTGTTGAACTTTCTCTAAGGAATCTGCCTCTCTCTTATAAATTGCGTTATAGACTACACTACAAAATATACACTACAGTTGGTCTCACAATAGACTTATACAGTTTCAATAAACTTTTTTTCTTCAAAAATCTAAAAGACCGTTTTATCATGCCCAATTTCATGTTAGCTTTCTTTCAAATATCGGCAACATGCATTCTAAAATAAAAATAAAAGACTGGAATCAAAGGTAACTCCTAAATCCTTAACACTGTCAACTGCCTGAATTTCAGTATCAAACATAAAAATAGGAACATTTTGGATTATTTCTTCCATAGTGAACAATTTTACATTTGTCACTATTAAATGGCAAATTCCACTTTCGAGACCACTCACATAAGGCATTAATATATTCCTGAAGATGGAATATATCATCAACCGAGTCTACAACTCTAAAACGCTTTGTATCATCTGCAAACAATCTTACAGAAGAGTCAGATACTAAAGGTAAATCATTGATAAAAATAGTAAACAAAATTGGACCCAAAAACAGAACCCTGTGGGATACCAATTAGCACTGGGACTTTACTAGATAGACATCCATTTATTGAGACACGCTGTGAACGTCCAGTAAGATATTCCGCAATCCACTTTAAAGTTTTATCTTTATACCATACTACGTAACTTGCCTAGTAAACGCTGATGAGGAACGGAATCAAAAGCTTTTTTGAAATCAAAATAAATACAGTCAAAACTATAAGATTTATCAATATAAGAAGACCACAGCTCATCTACCGCAAGTAATTGGGTTTCACAGGAATAACCACTTCTAAAACCATATTGCTCTTTGCATAGTAAATCATTTGTCTCAAAATATTCCATAAGATAATCTCTAATGATCCGTTCCATAATCTTCCCTACAATCGATGTTAGACTAATCGGCCTATAATTAGATGGAGTATTCTTATTACCCTTCTTTAGAA